GCTAACACTCCTTGGGTTTGCAGTTTTTATTCATTAGAATGGAAATTCCCGGCCTCCTCAAGCCCACCCCTAATTTCTTTTTAACAGTGGGCTCTTATCTAGCCTTCCCAAGCTCTATTGTGGCGAAATGCCAACCATTCTATAGACATGTGAGACTAAGCCTTGTAAAGACGCTGTGGTGACTTTCAAAGAGATAAGACTAGATATTATGCGTTTGAATAAATACTTTTGTAGGTATATAGTGGAGGAAAGACTACCTTGGAGAAAATAACAAAACTCTAGGGGTAAGATACTAACAATCATTGTAGTGGTGTACATGGCTCAGTTCTCTTGTCTTTCAATTGGAAGTGGAATACATTCATATTAAGTTTATTAATGAGGGATCTACTTGAATCAGCATGCAGTTGAGTAGACTTCCAAAAGGACCTGTTTCTTTCTGGATGGTTTTAATGGTGAGGGAATTGTGGGGGAGGAGGTCAATGGCTAGCATATCGATGTTCACCTGGGCCAATAATTGATAACTGTATGACTTGTGTGACTCAAGTTAACTCATCACTTCATGACTTCTCTTTTTGCGATGATAAATCGAGTGGTTGTTACTTGGGCCACTTAGGTCCAGTTGTAGGCTGTAGAGATTTTTTGGTCCAATAGTTTTTGCTTTGTTTTGTTGTGTCTTAGGTATAACTGTTAACTCCAACGTTATTGCAATACTTATTCCTGTTAAGTGGATTTGCACATTACTAGTTGTGATGAGTTAAGTGGAATAGTAAGTAACACGTATGTGTGTAACAAACTGTGAATATGTCAATTAAGTCCCCTTAGAGTGCAGAGGTAATTGAGCTTTCATTAAAACTCATTTTTTTAAACGTGGGTTATAAGTCTGTGTCTACAGAATGACAAAATAAGCAGTCAGCTTGGTGGAAAAATATTTACAATAAGTGAAGAAAATAAATGCACCTAGTGCCCAGGGGCTAGTCTCCCTCCTCCTTAATTTTACTTGATGATGTTGGCATTGTGTATACATAATTTGGGCGGAGCACTATTTAACCTATTTTTTTAAATCGCTATACAGGATATGCCTTAAGCATAAGCATTTCCCTTGGCGTCAACCATAAGCAAATTTCCAGTGATATTTAAATGTGTGACTATAAAATACTTCTACTGGCATGTCCTTACTACTTTGCTGCTGTTAGAACAGTCTCCAAACATCTATTAGGTAAAGAGAGACTTGTTTGGGTGTATAGGTTACTAGGAATGAGATCACAGGCGAGGAGTAAAACATTTAGAGGGTTACAAGTACCTTGTTTCCTAGTTGAAGAATTGTATAAACAGGCAGGTTTTCAATAAAAATGTTAGCCTTCAATTGAATCCCATGAAGTACACTGAGTATAGCCCATTACCACGTTTAATTTCAGCCATCACCAACAGTAATTACATAGTGATTTCAGAAAACAATTTATTCCATTTCAATGGAATTTCCATTATACTAGCTATAATCTCAAATATGTAAATGGTAGCCAAAGCTGGATATGATGCTTCAGTTAAGTTTTTTTTTTGTTTTTTTTTGCCCATTGTTTCTTCTAGCATCTTCTTGCCAAATCTTCTGGAGCGCTTGTAATTCCCTCTGTACAGAGCCCCACAGGCTCATCAGCAGCAGAAGGTAAACATAATAGATGTGAGGAATTTCTGGAGATTTATGAGGTCTAGTTGTTGGTTTTTTTTTGAAATGTACACTCTGTCTGGCTATGCTAGTACACGGCCACATGTGGTCTCTATGACTTGAAAATGTTATAAATGGGGCATCACTTGCCCATTGTTATGAATACGATTTAAGGACAAAATATGTTTTCTATGAGAGTATTTAGATATTGTCGGCTTCTGAATTATAGCAATGCAATGGAGTTGAAAAGACAGATGAAATACTTTTAGATCTTACAGTTTTCCCCTTGGGGTTTTGTAGCGATTCATTTTTTTAATTTAGTCTATTCAATTATTATCTTTCTACACTTTCTCAAACTTTTCGGCTTTCTCTTTATCATGTTGGAAAATGGCAGGCTATCAGTTCAAGGCATGCCAGCAGTCTCAGACAGCTTGTAATGAAGACTATCGACGTTGCTGACATTTGGCATGATTTGCTGCCAAATAGGAAATTAAAAAGTACAAGATATTATCCTAAGGACCATCTGTTTATGAAAATAGTTAATTTCACATCACTTTGTTGGGCATAACAAGTGACCGACGGGGGTAGGCCAGACTATGCTTCTAGGTAATCATGATAGTCTCATTGCTTGTGAAGACGATCCTTTACCCTTTCTAGGGACTGTATTGATATTAATTAATCAGCTTTAATGTGATACATTTTTCAAGTAGAGGAGTGCGAGTTTGTCTTCGGTGCCAGACATTTCTCTACATCTTTTCTTTCACCTGCGTCTCGCTAAAAGAGGTTTTGGCAGCATTAATGGAAGAACACAGAAAGGCCTCTCAGTCCTGTTTTTGTTTA